CCATATAAGTCATAAAATTTACACCTGCTCTAGTAAACTCCACAACTGTGACAACAAAAAAGAAATTCATTTAACTGTCAATAAATTGTAAGTAGTTTGAAAATCTGACCGTTGTAGCACATGTTCTGCTAGCATTACCTCATCTGTTCTACACAAAGTCAACGGATCTTGGCACAAAGCCTAAACCAGTGAGAAGTGAGAAAGACCCCCTCCTCGCTCAGGAATTCTCGCCAGCTGACACAGATGTTATTTGTTCCTGGCACTAGAAAATGTGGAATTCGGCTTTCTCAATCTAAGACAAGTTTCTAGCTTCGCTATAACAAAGTTATTACTGTAAGTGTAACTTGTACATGGCATCTTTAGGGAAGAAGCTCAATACTTCAATTACATGTTATATGCATGACGTGACTTTGAAGACTTTTTGGTCTGAAAGGGTCCTTTATTCTTGTCGTTCAAGGGCACTCTTTTCCCACTGTACACCCTTTATCCTCAACTTGAGGGGTTCCTAGCCTGGATGCCAGACTGTTTCCAGGGCCTGCACAGGCCAACTTGGCTCCAGGGCCAACATACCCTAGGGAAATTATACCACAGACACAGTCCACTTTTCCTCGGGATCTAACTTGTTGTATTACTAGTTAGAGTCTATTCTTAGGAAAAAAACAAGTTTAATCCTTTGTAAATCTGTTGTCACATATACAGCTACGTTGATGATACAGACAGTGATCTGTCGCAAAACGACCATGATTACGATATCTCATCCATCCGCGGAGGCAAGCGTCTGGGAAGCAAGACACGCTGGACCAAGGATGAGGTAGGGTTCAAGAATGTTTTTAACTCAAATAAGACTTATCCAAATTATCAACCATCTTTGTCATGGAATTCACATGCCAAAAACAGCATCAGAGTTGTACAATAAAGAATTTGGGGTAAGTCTATTTTTGTGATGGAAACTTTGCCTCAGAAAGATATGTACCAATACAGACGAACTTTCTTTCAAACTCTTCAAGTTTAATTCAGTTTCATTTTTTTAGGAAGTACATGTTGTTGTGTACCCTGTTGGAAACGGCTCCTCTAACCAACTATATCATATCACACAGCATTTCACAAGTTTCTTTGCTTAAGGCTCCAGTTGTGCTCATTTACTACTGATATATTATGTCTATTTCAGGACGAGGCCCTGAGACAAGTGGCTATTGACATGGGGTCAGATGATATTGACTGGAAGGCTGTTGCTAAAAGCTTTCCAGACAGAAGTGGTAAGTCTGATAAGGGAACCCGCGTTTCTGTTGGGGGCATATTCACTTACTTGTTGGCAAGCAACGTGACTGGAAAGTAGAAGGTCTATTCTTAATGCATGGCACAGTGACACTAACATCAGAGTACATTGTATTGGCTTGCAGTGTGTGATGTTGATTCTATCTGTGATAGTTTTTCTCTCCTCACTTTTTAGATGTCCAGTGTCAACATAGGTGGGAAAAGGTGTTGAACCCTGACCTGGTCAAAGGTCCCTGGACCAAGGAAGAAGATGAGAAGGTCGTTGAACTGGTGAGGAAGTATGGGCCCAAGCGCTGGTCACTCATCGCCAAACACCTGAAGGGGCGTATTGGCAAACAGTGCAGGGAACGGTAAGCAGAAGAGGGATGTTATTTCTGGGATGGAAGTTTACTATCATTTGGGGCAGCTATGGTTTCCTGGGAGTCTGTAAGTGTCTTGTCGTCTTGTCCTGAGCAGCGAGAATTGGGAGTGAGTTGACGGAGATTTATTTTTAGTTGATTGACAGGGTTGCCCTGGGTGGTAGGATATCATGTAGTATGAGGTTGTCAGAGATGTGTACTTTGTTATTATGGTATGAAATCAGAGCTTGTTTTTTTGTTGTTGTTGAGAGATTTTAATACTTACTACTCTTTTGTGTGAATTTAGGTGGCACAACCACCTGAACCCAGAGATCAAGAAATGTGCGTGGTCTGAGGAGGAAGACAGGATCATCTACGAGGCGCACAAACGACTGGGGAACAGATGGGCAGAGATCGCCAAACTACTGCCGGGAAGGTGAACAGAACTTGTATAAACTTGTGTTCTTATTGCCTCAATGAAAACGGTTAACATATTTTGTGTGTTTGTTTGCTCGCACAGTTCAGTGATAGCTCATGCTGGGTGGGGGAGTTCCTAGTACCTAACTTCAGACCACCATTTTTTTAATGAAAATAAATACCCTTGTGATGATAAAGCAATATGATTGTTTGCAAGGACAGTTAGGTCAAAACAAAATAAACTGTAGACAATTCCTATTGCAACTTGAAAACAGACAATACAATCATCAGACAACATGTTAAAAGAATGGATTGTTTACACTTTACAGTGTATTGTACATTAATTTCAATTTCAAAAGAGCCTGTCTTTTCCCCAATCGATAGACAACATGTTGTTTACAAATGTACTCTCACTGTCTACAAGAAGTCATAGGTCTCATACCTCCATTGTATATTAAAATTGTTTGTAAATTTCTGACTCGGTAAACTATTCACTTGGTACATGGAAGTAACAAATACATCTACTAATAACTGTGTGCCTATGACATACAGTGTAAGATGGATTTATAACCCAATTTTTTTCTACACCTAAGGACTGACAATGCCATCAAGAACCACTGGAATTCCACCATGCGTCGGAAGTACGAGGCTGAGGAAGGCATCACGCAGCCATACCGCAGGCGTAACTCCAGCTCCTCCATGTACTACCCCCTCTCCCACAACCACATGTCCTATCCAACATACTACCCACCCCCGCAGCAGGAAGTGCAACAGCCCATGCACCAGCAGGACCAGATGCAGGTGGGCCATTCTATTATTCAGAAATAGGGAGTGTCCGGGTTTGAACTGTCTTTGAATTCCTGCAGTATTCCAAACGGACTGTAGAAACATCCTAGTAGTGATTGATTGATTCACTCATTCATTCATTTTTCCGGGGAGTTAATTTTGCAATAGAAGGGTTTTTGTGTTTTTCACAGTCAAAACCATTCCGTACTGTATAGGAAATACAAGTGGAAACACATATTTGCAGTGTTCAGATCAGCATATTCAACCCTGTTTAAATACCTCTCCCAGGCCCAAGGATACATGCAGCAGCAGCAGCAGCCCATGTACATGAACACAGCAGACTGTAGCATGGCGCCCCCTGGTGACCACAACATGCAACAGCAGCAGCAGCAGCACTACCCCACCGACACCATGTCCCAGTGGAACAGCGACGTGGTGGATGGCATGATGGGAGTGGGGATGTCTAACGGCATAGTACAGGGTACCGAGGACCCGTCACCGACCAAGTGGATTGTGTACAACATGGACAATGATGGTAAGGCGCTCACCATGCTGTATGTAAACCCGTACATGCTGCATGCAAAGCTTTGCTTTACATTTTTAATGAGAAGAAAGATGCTTTGATTACAGTCAAATCTGCTCAAGAAAACCACTGGGGTTTATAAAATCGGGTTCATGTGAACAGGTGGTCTCAATTTCATTAGGTTGTAGATTTGCATAGTTAACATGCTGTAGTGCACATTTGCTGATACCCATAGAGTTATGCCATTTTGCTTCCTTTCCCATGCCTTCTTGTTTTTTATGTTCTTCTGCTGACCATTTCATCCTACACTGTGCTTCATGTTGTTGTTCTGTGTTGTTACATCATCAGACTTGAACTGCTGGTTACTGGGCTGAATTCTTCCTTTTAGCTATTATCAAAAGTATATGTTTTGCAGTTCAAAGAAAGATCATTGGAAATCTCAAAGTCACAAGTTTTGAATGGGTAGCAGACTAGCAGTGATGAAATATTACTATGGTTGAAAACGTTTTAAGCATGATACTTCACATTGAGCACATTTTCATCTTTAAAATGTGATTGATTGCTGAGGATTACATCATATTGTGAGATAGCAATTTTGAAATGTTCTGTATTATCGGTAGATAAAATCCAGTTCGACCAGAGATATCACAAGTTCTTAGCTCAAATCATATCTGTACTGACCCTGGAAAAATCAAGGACAGCTGACAGGATTCTTAAATAAAGCAAATTGGACTAAGAGGGATACCAGAAATTTCAAACAAAACACATTTGTACAGGAAGCCCAGAAATTCCAGAAAGTTGAAGTCATTCCTCTCATGTCCTCTTCGTCCCACCACCACCCCAACTGTTTTCTATCATCTCTCACCAACCAAGTTATCAACGCTCTGCACGCAGCCATCGTGTCGCCGCTGCGCTCGGTACCGGAGTTCACAGAGACACTGCAGATGGTGGATGCGGAGGGAGAGGAGTGGGACAAGGACTTCGGCCAGCTGGAGCTGATCGGAGACATGGCCATCAACAGGACCGCCGAGAGGGAACAAGTCAGACACCTGCCTGCTGAGGGCAGCACAGGTAAATAGATAAATGCTGATGTTTTTGGCAAAAGTTTTTCAAAAGTTTCTAGGTTTACAGTAAGCAGCATGCAAGAATTCTAGGAATTGTACAGAATTTTTCTGCACTGTTCACTATGAATTCATCACGAAGGCAACTTTCTTTGCCCAATGTTTTTTTTCACGCTTGCCTCAGTTTTGGAGTGCCGATAGGATATCTTCCAAATATTAATAAATCAAATCAGTATGGCCTTACCTCTGTGTGTAATAACGCATAACAGTATCCATACCATACTTGTTTCTTCACTTGTCCAACAGAATACAGGTTTGATGGTCGTGCTATCCAGGGGTTGGCCAAGGAGACCCCAGGGAAGAGCGGTGGTCTGATCCCGATTACATCACCCATCACGTCCAAGTTCACCACACCTCCCATCCTCAGGAGAAAACGCAAGAAGCACGTATCCTTCATGTACTAGCTACCATACAAAAGTTGTAGCATGAGCAAGAGGTCGTGCATTCAAATCCTGGCTGTTGTCGCACGCTACTGGAAACATTGTCTGACAGTAGTCTTTTGAGG